TTCATTCTGTTCTTTTTATCATTTAAAGATTTATTTATTACTATGCATACAGAACTAGGGTACAGGCCAGAGGTACAGGGGGTGAGAGGATTCACCAGAGAGAGTGGGGAGCAGAACAGGCCACTTGACGAAGTACACTGCTGAGGGGAGCAGGAAGTGGGTCAGGAGAGGTTTGCTGCACCATGTAGGTCAGCTCTGGGGTGGGGATCGAACTCATGCGGAAGTGGCTTTAGCTTCTTAGTGCTGTGCTTTAACCTGCTGTGCCACCAGGGAGGGCCCTGTTCTTCTTCTTCTTTTTTTTTTTTTTAAGATTGATTTATTTATACATACAGAAATGGGGTATAGGCCAGAAGTGCAAGGTGGGTGAATGGATTCACCAGAAACAATGAGGCGCAGAAAGGCAGATTGACTGAGCTACATTGCTAAGGGCACAGTCAGCGTGTTAGGAGAGGTCTGCTGTGCCATGTGGGTCAACTTCCTGGTAAGGATGGAACTCCTGCTGTAGTGGCTGTGGATAGCTTGGTAGTGCTTTGCTTTAACCTGTTGTGCCACCAGGAAGGGCCTATTTTACTCATAACCCTCCCAATAAATTTTTTTATTTTTGAAAATTTCATTTCTCTCACTTTTTTTTTTTTTTTCTTTTTGAGAATTGAGTCCAGGTACAGTTTTTCACCTCAGCAGCTATATATATCACACTATGATGTCCAGCTACCATCTGTCACCACTAATTGATCTCCTTTACCTGCTTTACTCCCCTTCCCTTTTCTGGTAATAACCATTCTGTTACCAGAACCCAAGGATTGTTTTTATTTTGTTTGTTTGCTTTGTTTTGTTTTTTTATATCCCATAAATTAATAAAATCACATAGTGTTTGTCTTTCTCCATCTGCTTTATTTCACCTACCATGATCCCCTCAAGGTCTGTCTGTGTTTTCACAAATGGTAGGATTTTATCTTTTATGATTTGAATACTGCTGTGCTTAAATACAGCATATTTTCTTTATCTAATCATTCACCTTAAGTTACTTCCATGACTTGGCTATTAATAGTACAGCAGTGCCCATAGTGGGGAACATCTATTTTGAATTAGTGTTTTCATATTCTTTAGATAAATACACAGAAGTGGAATTACTGGACCTTTGGTAACTCTTATTTAAAAATTTTTGAAGAATCTCTATACTGCTTTCCTTAGTGTTTGCATCTATTTATGTTTCACACTAACTGTGTGTGAAGGTTCCTTTCCCGTTACATCTTCATTAACACTTACTGTTTCTTTTTAGTAATAGCCATTCTAACTGGTGTGAGGTAAAACCCTGTTGTGTGCTTTGATTTACAGATGAGTAATAAAGAATAATTTTTATTTGTTTGTAAAGATTTATTTATTTATGCATACAAAACTGAGATACCAGCCAGAGGTGCTCACTTAAGTGGTGGCAGCTAGCTTCTTAGTGCTGTGCTTCAACCCATTGTGCCACCAGGGAGGGCCCAAGAATAATTTTCAGTGTGCCTGTAGAACAATTTTCAGTGTGCCTGTATATTTAGGTAAACACCTTTTAGAGAGTCAAATTTCCAGCTTTGCAATTCCTGTTTGGCTGATTTTAAATTGTTTTCACTTCTTGACTGAAATGTCCAGGTTGTTCACTTAATTATATTTTCCTTTGTCATCTTGAGCATGTTTACACTAGTTGCTTTAAGATCTTTACCAATTCCAGTATTTGCGTTACCTTGCTTTCGTCTCCATTGATTATCCATTTTCTTGAATATGGGTCATATATTCTTGTTTTTTCATGTTTAGAAATCATACACAGCACACAATGAATGATAGTTTAATGATTCTAGAATTGGTGTATTATTCTGGAAAGTGCTGATTTTTTGGTTATTATTTGTATATTAGAAAGCATTTCTCTTGGTTGAACTGAATCTGTATCTCCCCTTAGGGGATGACAGCTGTTCTCTCTAGTCAGTGTTTTAGACTTCTAGACCGATTGAAATATATTCTACTTTTTCACGATTGGTGACTAGACTGAGATTGGGTATAGAAATAATGTACAAATTTGGGACTTTTTTGTGATTATTTTCCAACATACCTGTTACTCACTTTTCAGCTGCCATAGTAGCTCCAAACTCTGGGTTGTTTTATTTTTTTGAAATTTATAGCAATCTATGGGAATGTAGGTCTGATAAAAAGCGTTCTGTTACTGCTTCTGACAGAATCTGTATGCTTTTATTTATTTTTAAAGGTTAAAGTAGCTTATGAATTTATGTTGATGCTTCCAGAGTTACAGGTTTTTTTAATTTATATCTTCTATACTAAGAATTCTCAAGGACAAAATAAATGATTGGATTATAGCATGATGATTATTTACTTACTTTCTAGCCTTCACACACACAGCAGTTCAGTATAACAATACCAGTACTGTCATTGTGATTATTGAAAGCACTTAAATTTTTTTCTTGTGCTTTCTATAAATTTCCACCCCCATTTAAAAAATTTCAATAAGTTTATATATATTTAGCCATTAAATTTTATACTTATTCATCAACATGTAAATAATATTGTTTGATACTAGTTCCTAGTTTGAAATACTATTCATTAGCTTGCTCTCTCTATTTTTTTGGAATCTAGAGATTTATAGTACTACTAGATTCATAGTAGTAGTACTTCCTATTTCTAGTTTTTTGAGTAAATTTATCTCTGCCTTCTGTGTATTAAAAATTGATTTTAGAAAATATAAAACACTTTTTTTAAATATCTTAAATATGTTAGTCTGTTATTTCCTGGCAATAAAGTGTTGCCTTTAAAAAAATTGATGCTGTCCTTCTGTGATTGACAGACTTAGATAGGAATACAATGTGCCCTTTTAGCTGGTGGTTTTGTTTTTTCTGTTTTTTTTTTTTTTTTTTTGTACTTCTAGGGAAGCTTTCTTGATTTAGAGTTTTCACTATTTGTTTTCTTATGTCAGAACTTTTTAAAGAATTTGATTATCTGAATGCACAGCTCTTTGCTGCTGGTTGTTACTTTCTATCATCCTTTTTATCTCTTAAGTTTCTTTTGATTTTAAAAATGTTCCTTTTTTACGGTCTAGTTCTCTTAAAGTATCTGTTGTATTTTTTTCTCTTGGGTTCATTCAGCCTTAATTTTCATTTTTGAAACTTTTTTTTTCAATTTCTGATGATTTTCTGAGTTCTCTTACTAAGATTACTAAATACTAAGATTTTTCTCTTACTAAATACTAAGATTTTTGAAATCTGATTTATGTTCATATGTGTTGAGTCATTTTGTCAGCATTTCAGCTCATTTTGAAATAGGAAGTTACAATTTTCACCTCCTTCATGGGTATGTGTTCCTGGTAGACTTTTAGTATCAGGATGATATTCTGTATTTTATTCTCTTTTCTTTATAAATACTTCATGGAAAAATTAATTACATCATTTACTGTTGCTCATTTAATGTGGTCCAGGATGATTGTAATTTGAGTCCACCCCTCTGCTATTGTTTTGGTTTTCTTCCAACATGTAGCTTTTACTTTCTGAGATTGCTGGGTTTTGTTCCATTTCTCCCTTTTATCTTTATCTTCACTGTTTCTAATGTATTCTATTTTGATCCTGTACCTAGTAGTTTGTCGTCTTTGTGATACAGTAATGTAGGTCAGGTTTGAGAGTAAATTAAGGCTGGATCCCCCCCCAACTTCTTCTGACTGTACAATGGACCTTTTGGGGAGTCTGTTCTCAGGCTGCTTCCTCAGGTCTTGGTAGTGGTGATTTATCATCTGCTGTTTTTTGAGGGTGAAGGGGAATTTCATATCATGGTTTTTTTTTCTTTAATATTGCATTTTTATTGTGGATATTGCATTTTTAGGTGGAGGTTTGAATGCATGAAAGCATTGCTACAGCCTTTACATTGCACTGGGATCATTTTAATCTATCATTTCTTAATTGCTGTTTATAGTTTCCTTTTGTTTCAAGTTTGATGACCTTGCCCTAGATTAAATTACAACTTTCTCTAAATAGTGCCTGAATCTTAACTAGTTTGAAAGTTACTTTATATTGAAAACAATCTTTACAATATCTGTATACTACTGGATATGTATACAAAGGCTCAGTCATCAAATTGGAAGATAATCTATGGGTGATTTTAATAGTAGGATTAGTAGCTACTTTTATAAATTGAAGGATAATGATCTACCTATATAGAAAATTCATTTATGTGTTATCTTTGTCATATATGGCATAACCTGTTATCTTCTAATCTAAGCATAACTAGAGGACGTGTAAAGTCCCAAAAATGTCCACAAAGTAATTATCTACATAGAAGACATACTGGAAATGTAGCCCACATCATTGTATAGTATGGTAGCTCATTTCTCCTTGTTGCAGTTGAAAAATATAAAATGCAACAACTCCTGAGCCTAGCAATTAAAATGGTCAGGATGGTAAAAGATTTTCTTAAACAACTAAACCAGAAAAAGAAAAGAAAGAAAGCCAAAGATTGTTGCGTTTCTTAATATGAAAAAAAGCAAAAAGATGTTTATGGAATTACAAAGGAAATTGAGCACAGATTAAAATTTTGGTTAAAAAAACATTGGGTGGTAGTGATGGCACATAAGTGATTTGGTGATGGGAAGCCCACAGGGATTACACCTGAGATGGAAAAATGCACAAAATGATGTAAAAATAAACCATTATTTTAAAACAAAACATTGGGTGGTAATTTTAGGTCTCACTATCCTAGCCAGTTCTGTGCTCCTAAATTTGGTATTTTAGACAATTAGCTAACACAAGTCACTTCCTTAAACAGAGCAGAACATTATTGACTTAATAAAGCTTTCCAAAACGTTTATAGTGTTTAAGAAGTTGGTGTTTCTTTTTATTTCATTTGACTTACTTGCATAAAAGGGTTATGTTTTATATTCATTTATGAAGAAGACAGATTATTTACTATTTACTTTGCAATATCTCATTTAAACTTCTAAAGTTCACCTTTTAAAAAATCTTTAACAGGCTTCAACAAATAATGAAAGCTCTAATCACAGTTTTGGAAGCTTGGGATCTTTAAGTGACAAAGAATCAGAGGTAAGTCGCTTCATTTTAAATATGATGCTATTAAAGTAAAAGCTTTTCTTATGAAATAGGTTTCTCTTCATCGATTCTTGTGTTGAAAGTTAATGCTTTTTAAGTTTCTTGTCACAGCATTTTTTTTCTGTTTTATGAAGCACAGCATTCAGCCTGAAGTATTTATTTGATAATTAGAAAGAAAATATAGTTTGTTTGGTTATGTAACTGAACTTGTACAGTAGTGGTTCAAATATTCCTAATGGGACACTTAGAAGCCATTCATAATTTTCAGGTGAAAGTGGTATTTAAAATGCATTATTTCACTATTTTCTATTTCTGTTGTTACACACTCTGTAAGTTTGATCTTGAATGAGGTTTTTTGTTTACTTTCTGAGATGTAGATGTGTATTTTGTCTCATTTTGAAATTTCTTATGGAATTTCATGCTGTAGTTTTTACCTTTCATATTTGATACACGACAGATCTCCTCCCTTGCCACCTACTTATTGACCCCACCAAGAAAATACATGCAATTTTGGTAAAGAGGCATTTGAAATCCTGATATAATTCACATTGAATATGATAACTACTTGATAGCATCTGTTAAAAATGTGTAGACAGCAGTTTGTATTTAAGTATTCACTTGTTGAAACATCACTTGGGTTTTAGCATTCACTTGCTGAAGCAACTTTACCTTTTTATCACTATACTTTCTCTTCTCAAATTACAGAATTCTGTCTACTTCTCAACATTATGTGCGTGTGTGTGTGTGTGCATGTGTGCGTGTTCGTGTTCTCCCTGTTGGTGTTGACTTATATTTACCTGATCCATTTTAATATTTTTTCAAGTTGGGTTAGTGTAGATTTATCACCTTGATTGTACTGATTTGCTGTTAGTTCTCAATAACTCTTAGCCATTTGGTTTTGATAGTCAGTGGAAAGAGAATATCAAAAGTGGCATTTTTTTTTTCAAGCCCCATGTTATTAAAAGCATTTAGGAATCTCAGGGAGTCAGTTTTGCATAGTTCTAGTCAGGCACCCTGACGCTCCAGAGGAGTGTGACATAGGGCTTTCACTCATCAGGCTTTCCCTTCCACAGAGACAACTGGCAGGCAGCTGAAAGGACTGTGCAAGTGACGGGACTTTATCTGCAGTAGGTTCCCTTGAGGTAAGCGTTAGTAGACCCAGATTATCACAGTTCAGCTTTTTTTCAAGTTAACAATCTTAAGCTAAGTCCTTAAAAATTATAGTCTTAGATCTAGTCAAAGTACAGTTTTAATAGAAACTGAATCAAGAATGTTTTCACTTTATATTGTACTTTGGAACATTTCTTGATCCTTCCACAGAAATTTGGTTCTATTTAGTATTTTCATATGCTTCCTCTTTCATAGACTTTCATATTACAAAGGACAGTAAAATAACTTTAGTTATATTTGGGTTTTTTTCTCCCTCTAATCTAGTGTTTTTGATAGATTTAAAATTGCAGAACTGATAAGAGATCATTTTTAACATACCGCTTCCCTTAAAGAATTCCAGGGATCACTTTTGACTATTTTTAGTTAATGTTGGGTTTTTTTTTTTTAAAAAAAGATCATAGCTACATTTATAGTAAAATACAAGTTGACTAATCCTTGGATATGTTTAGCTTTATTTGTATAGAAATTTTGATATTTGAGGCAGAAATAGAAAATTTTAAAGTCTTGACTTTTGTTGTTCTGTGTTTTGTATCTTGAGTTTTACAAATTAATGGCTAAATAATACTGTATTTTGGAAATGACTACAGGATTAGACATTTACAGGATTTGAAGAAGCAAGGCTTTGTCTTTCTTTTTAAGAATTCACTTAGAGTATGGTTCTAATATTTTATTATCTCTGTGACAGATACCTTAATTAGTGAATTTCCCTTATGATGAAATTTCATACATTGGCATATAGATACTCATAGATTAGTAAGTCATTGAGGAGTAAACAGTTGCAAGATAGAAATACTTCAACCTTTCCTAGTATATGTGTAGCAAAATTGTGTAGTATTCCATTGTCTTTTATTATTTCATTTTTTGGTAATCCACCCCTTTCCTCATCCATTACTTTTTTTTTTTAAGAGTTTTTTAATGAACAGATAGTAGGAAAAGATTTTTCATTTTTTACACAGTAGTTCTCCACCACTATCTCACCTCATTCTATTCTTCTAGCTTTTCTTCCTGATATTTATTTCCATATTTAATGTGAATAATATTAAGTTTATAATAATATTCAATTTAAAATAAATAATAAACATGCATATTCTGCTATTTCAATTCAGCAGTTGGACATTATTTGTTGACTTCCTCTCAGGACTTGAAGAGTTTTGGTTTAAAACATTCCCTTTCCCTTCCTTCTATCTCTTTACTTAATATTCATTTCAGATACCCAGAGCTTTCCTGCTTTTTTTGTCCATTTTCTGTTAAAAGTGAAAAGCATCTGCTATTGTCTGTTAGGTTGATTGAATCTACTTGAGCTGAAATTTTTCATATGAGTGTGTGAGAGACTATTTTTATTTAACACACACATACACGCACACACATTATATTGAATTTGCCCTTTATTCCTAAATAAAAGAATTGTCAAGCAAAAATATTCTCCCTTTTAATGAAATCACCTTTAGGTAGGAAGATACTGGTCTTCCTTTGTTTTATGTTTATCACTCTAACTCTGTTCAGTAGGTTCCAATATACGATGTTTTCAAAAGCATTTATTGTTTATCTGTTGTCTTCTAATCTATGTGACAAAGGAGATAATGTAAAAGATGAATAGGAAACAGTTCTGCCCTCAAGTAAAATCCACACCTAATAAGACAGACTGTTTCATAAACATTGTGGATTATGCTGAGTAGATGTAAACACAAGATGCTGTGGGAGTAAAGAGCAAGAACCTATCTGCCTGTAGATGAGGGCAGGTAAGAGAAGTTTTTCTCAAAGAATAGATGATTGTTGATAAATTGAGACTGTAAAATTATCCCAGAGGACAAGGGAAATGTATGAGAAAAAGCAAGGCAGAAGAGCTAGGTTTTATTTTTTAATTTTGTGTCAAAGCATGGCAAGGAGTTTGGACTAGAGTAGTAATTATCAACCCCAATTGCTCTTTAGATTGCCTGAGGAGCTTTAAAAAAATAAAGTCAAGCTATTTAGGTGTTTAATTTGGTGTGGTGAGATGAGAGTAGATGCAAGGATGGTTAAAAAGGGGCAGAAGTCAGAAATTGACTGCCCCCTTATATTTTAGGGAAAGGAATTTGGACATTGGAACATGGTACAACACCTGTGAAGCAGAAGAAACAAAATACCAAGTACAAATGAAAAGGTTTCTCCAGGTGGCAGTGTAGAATATAGGCTTTTAAGTTGAGAAGATTGTTTAGTTAAGGATTAGGACCAATTTTACAAAACTCCAAAGCCCCAAGATTTATTATAAGGAGGAAAAGCTTTCAAAATGTTCAGATTCTAATAATTCTATTCTCATGTTTGCCTTTTGGACTGTAATACTTCATGTTCTCTGCATTTATTTATGGATGGTATAAATAACCACCTAGGGCCATGCTTCTCAGACTTTAATGTGCAAGAGAAATACGCAAGCTCTCAGATTCCACTAAATTTTTAAAAGTAGAGTTTGATGACTTTGACTCAGATTAAAGAAGGGGGAAACCTAGGATTATTTAAAGGTGTCTAACTTTACCTGTCTTTGACCAGATGGATGATGAGTAGATTTGGCATAGAAAGTAATGAATTAGGGATAGCATTAAGTTTGAATGCCTGGGAAAAGATCAAGTGAAGATGGTACTTTGTTTACACAGTAGAAGCTATCTGGAGCTCAGGAAAGGGGTAGTGTACAGGTGAAAACTTTGCAGGGTCAGTTCCTTTTAAAAATGTCTTAGAATGCCTATAGCAATTGAAAACATGGTCTTTGTGCTATATCTGTTGACTAAAAGTCTAGATTATTTTGTAAGAGAAGGTGCCCATGTTTCTTGGTTATCAGTGTATTCTAACTACCTTCATCCACCTGTTTGCAGTTCTCCCTGCAGAAACCTTCCCTGTCTAATCACAATAGCCTGTATTTGTTCTGAATTCCGTACAATTGCTCCCTGCCACCTTACCTCTAAGATGCTCTAATTATGTATTTTGTAGCTTATTTGGAGTTTATAATGATTACTAGTACCATAACCGTTTCTCTTTCCTGCCTCTCCTTGTAGATGTTCTAGAATATATTTCTCTTTTTCATTTTTTACTCTGGTTGGGATATTTATGACTGATTATAAACATCCTTGGATTACATCATCTTAAATAATGTTGAGAAGTGCATTTAAGTATACATGTGTGCTTACATGAAATAATACTACATAATCATATCTTTAAAACAGACACATGTCATACTCTAGTTTTGCCTTGTATGGGTTGTCTTCTGATATTAGTATATGGCAGGATAAGCAGTGGTGAGAGCATTTCCCATTTTACCTTGTTTTATATATACTCATCTCTACTCTTGCATTTTTTCTTTTTTCCTTGTAATAGTGTTTAGCATAAATATTTCCTCTGTGAACACTTAGGTACCCTGGGATTGTGATTGAAGCTATGATTCTGCTTGACTACAGTTATATGTTGATTTCTAAAATTTATTAAAAATTTACTGTTTTCCCTTTGTATATGAATGTGTGTGCATGTATGTATACACATGCCTGTGCGTGCATGTGTTAGACTCTGGACATATTTTTTTCATTAATGTTTTAGCCTGAGCACCCAGTAAGAAAGAAGAAAACTTAAAATAATTTAGTGATGTGTAGTTAAATACCACTGGGAGTTACATTTTTATACCAAATAATACCCCCTACATGCAATTACCTAGCCTTTTACTTTTTTCTCTTTAAATAAGTTGTTTTAGCATCCTTAACCAAATTAGGAAATACTCTTAGTGCCTTGCTCCCTAAATTATTTTCAAAAATGAATTGACTTCATAAATGATCGTTGTGATCTTCTACTTGATGAGTTCCTCTTTC